AAGTGTGGCTTCTCGCTGGGGATTAATATTTGCAATTTTCTGGAGGTCGTGCCCTCGAAACACTAGTGAAACAACACGCAGAGATGTCACTGTTTGTAAAACATGTTGCCGATAAATAACATTTCCTTGTTTTTCTCTGACGCTACGGTAGACATTGCCATGCCTAGTCCTTGTACAAGGCATTTCGGTGGAGAACTCGCTCGGACCACGTGACCCGAAACGCATTAGCCGCGCGGAATAATGCTGGCCTACGGACAAGGCAACGGCAGACAATCGTTCCTTACAGTCCTTCGCTATCATTATAAACACCGGACACGGGAATTTTGTTATTGGCTGTTTTCACACTAGGGCTAGAAATGGATCATCCGTCTGAGCCTAGCCTGTGATTTTTTCTGGGGGGAGGGGGCGGCCGTACACAGGCTATCTGGAAAGGATAATCCCGTCTTCAAAAGTCAGGCGGATTGTTCATTCAAAATTAAAACTATTCCATTTTTAAATTAAGACGTATTACCTATCTGACGCGAATCATCAAACAGATAACCCGTCTCACACGAATAATCCTTCTCTAGTGTGAAAACGGCCATTTGTCGCGCCCCGGCCCTGAGTTGGGCGTTTGCGTGTCTTGTTTTGCTTTTTCACAAAGATTATTTTTAAATTGACTATTGACATTTCTAAGTGTAAAATAATATTAGAAGTGGAATACTTTATAAAAACTATGATCTATCAAATGTTAAAATTTTTCAAAAGAATAGCTTATTTCATCCCGAGATGATCCGAAGACCTTTATTTTGATTTAAAGATACAAAAAAATACGGGTTAATTAATATTTAACTTTTTGAAACAAAAGAAGTTAATTTTTAACTTTTTCGTTAACCGTAACTGAAAAAAATTAACCGATAGCCGTAAAAGAGCCAAAATCTTAGCCGATAACCGTAAAAGCCACCACCCCATTGAGACGCTCATAAGAGAAGATTTATCCTCTCTTGTTGACACCGAATGATGGCACCTTGACCCACTACCCCATTATCCTCAAACACGAAAAGCCTTCATTAAATTAAATACCTCGTTATTGTACCAACAACACAAGACAAAGCCTGTGAGATTAAACTTCTTTTCTGCCTTTTATTTCAAAAGAAGGCATCTGATCTAGAGCAGGTTTTACGCCGATATTCACCCTTTTTTCTCTTTGTTCTCTTTGTTGGGACCGAACATCAAGTGGGAAATTTAAATGGGTAGATGAAACTGAACTTGGATTTGAAAACTGGATCACTGGATCACCCGATACTGCAAAAGAGGAGTGCGCTGAAATGACAGATTATGGAAGTTTTAAAGGAAAATGGAACGACAACCACTGCTCCCATAAACAGGCCTTTATTTGCGAGCAAAGTTGGGTATACATTTTTATGTCCGTTAATATATCATAATCTCTATTAACACCTTTTCTGCTGTCTACGACAGCTCTCACAGACAAAAAACTTTCAACCGTTATCAACCTTGAAAGCGAGAGTTTAGTCAAATTATTTGAAAATGTATTTTCTTGTCAGTGAGGTGATTTTGATTTCTATTTTTAGTAATAGTTGTTACCATGAAAATCGCTGTTAACTTTAAATTTTTTTTATTACTAGCTCCATCATCATAGCCCTGTTTATTAGTGAAATACTAAAGTGATTTTATTTTCCTACCGTTGCAGTGACACACCTTGAAAACTTTTTTAAAGTGGTTCCAGGCAAAGCAATTCTTGGCCTTGTTATGGAACGCCTACAAGTAACGACAGAGATAGAGTGTGCTTTGCTTTGTCAAAGATTTCCAGGATGTGACTCAATAAACTTCTTTCATAGAACTACGGGTTCAAAAACGAAAAGTCTCTGTCAATTGAATCAAAAGGCAAACAGGGCTTCATCCGAGACTGAAGCGTTGTACGCAGATGGTTACAATTTATATTCTTATAAAGTCGTTACTTAACCCTTAGGGTCACACGGGAGAAAAGAGGAGATTATTTAAACGTCTGGGTATGGTTCAGTGAAGCCTCATCATTTCTCATCGATTGATCTGTCCAGTTAGTAGATAAACAGATACATATATAAACAGTGGGGTGTGGTGCACACTGAAGACTGGGAGCTGATGCTATCTAGTATAGCTATCCTTCTCTTTTAATGACCCCATTGTTGTTGTGGGAACGCCTGTGAGTTTAGCCCACTCTCCGCATCTACATATATACATACATATTTATTAATTCTTAAGTGAAAAACACTATACAGTACTATACAATGTATCTAATACGAAGAGTACACGAATGAGAGGCAATAGGCGACACTTAGAGCCGACACAACTCAAATTGACTTGATTAGTTTTAATAAAAATTTATGTATACTTAAATCTTATAGTACTGTACTTGTCATGGTACTCAGACGTACACCTCGTCCATCTGGACCAGTAAGTTGTACCGGTGCAAGGGGTATGACAGTATGACACCAGCAGGTTTTCAGCTTTTTCAGGGTTTTTTTTTGTGACGTTGCTGGGATAAAGCAATCAATTATATGTTGTGTAAAGAAAAGTCCACATTAAGAAACAAAAACCAAAAAATAAACTAATTAAAAAACAAAGCCTGTCATCCTTTGCTAGAGTCTGTCAAATAAGCCCAAACCTCTTCCACAGGATTAGCCTGCATAGCTGGCGGGAGCAGCGTGGGAGTGCTGTTTTGGCAGCGGACCTGCGAGAAGAGTTGAAAATCCCTCGCGGCTTCGCCGCTTGCTTAGGGACCGGTCACTATTTATCACCTGGGGGGGGGGGGGGCGGGGGAGTTTGGGGGGGATCACTTGATTTTTAGGAGAAAAGAGGGGGGGTCAGTCGTAACTGAGAGCCCAAAAGGGGGGGGGCACTGAAAATTTTGGAAGGATTCAGAGGGGGGGCCACTGAAATCTGCTTGAACAATGCCAGTTTGAAAGCATACAACATAAATGTGCCCATTCTGCTGGGAGATGATAGCATTTGCAATCTCAATTTGTTCTAACACAACTTTATTTAAAAAACGGAAGTCTGTCACACTGGCGAATGTGTGCATTTCAATTTATATCGAGAAAGCTTTGTTTTAACGCTTTTATATTTTTCCTTTTATAACGTGCTCATGACTTAGCTAATATTCATCTTTAAACATGACAGGTGAATTCTAAATTGTGAACTATATAAAC